AGAGAGAGGGGGGGGGGGAGAGAGAGAGAGAGAGAGAGAGAGAGAGAGAGAGAGAGAGAGAGAGAGAATGAGATAGAGATAGAGGAGAGACAGAGAGGATCCGTTGCCAGAGCGGTGAGATTTCTCTCGGTGTGCGCAGATGCGAACTTCCTTTGCTGGGGGTAAGCTACCCTCGACGACCTTGAGCAACCCCTCGGCTCACTGGCTATTTGCCCTGTCACCAGCTGCCGTCGTTGGACTTATCCGTCGTTCACGGACGATCGATCTCTCTCCCGCCGGCGTTCCGATGTCATCGCGCGTCGTACTCTCCCTCTCTCTCTCTCTCTCTCTTCATCTATTTATCTATCCATCTATCTATCTATCTCGCAAACTCGCGAGATTAAATCAACGGAGTGGAATAGTTCGAAATTACGATTTCTCTTTGATTCGTTTATGCGCAATTGGTTCGGTTCTGCGTCGGTCCGTGGTCCCGAGTTCATAGGTGGAACGAACGGAACGCGATCGCGAGGCGTTCGGAACTCGCGGCGGTTCCGGCGTCCACGAGGTCATCGCTGATCGCGATTCGCAACGCGTGCCGTGTCGCTCGAGTCACGTACGAGTTCCACCGCTAGAGAGACAGCTGCCGCGTGCAGACACCGGCTCGAACGTCACGGCGGTATTCCGTGCCCGGAGATCGATCATTCGCGAACGTCTAACTGTATTCTTCCCCCTTCCGCCAGGCGGCCATGCGATCCTTCGGTGCTAATCGCCGTGCAACATACACGCGCGCGTACCTCGCCGAGGAGTTTAATTAACGAGTCGCGATAACGCGAGTGAATCGAGGCGAATATTCGGCGGGCTGCGAGAACGAGAGAAAATGGAGCGCAACCGCGGAGAAGCATGTTCCACGCGAGTCTCCAGTCGCAAATTGCGAGGCGGCCGAGACGGCGATATCGGTTTGGCGGGACTGGTCGAGACGAGCATGCGCTCGAGAGCCAGGTGGCTCGGTCGCGACAGGGGAAGTGGAGGGGAGATTGGCGCGCAGTCGTAGCGGGGGAAAGGCGATCGCGTAGGGGACGAAGTTCGCGAGGTCTCCGCATGGAGCGTAGCGCCACGCGACGGCGCGTTGTCGTTACGGGTCGCGTAGTGGGGGGCAGCTACGACAAGGAGATCGAGCTAGCGAGTGGTGGGGGAAGGCGGGAGATGATCGCGATAGCGTACGCGGCCGGGAGCGGAGTGGGGGCGAAGCGTGGAAGGAGGTGGAAGGGTCACCGGGTACGTAGCGGCGAGTAGCGGTACTCTTTCTATGGACGTGGTGGAGTCGCATGCAAGCCGAGCAATGCCCGACTATTGACCCCGCGGCACGATCCACGCTGCTATCAGCAGCGGCAGATTGTCGCTTCGCAAACTTTGACTCTCTTTGTTCGCGATAGGCCGTTCTCGAGGTCTAATCGATATTCTAGCTCGTCGATCGTTATCCTACGCGGAACGATTCTAGCCACGTCGAAGAGGTATCGAGAGCGGACGACGCGCGAGTTGGAATGGAACGTTCGAGAAATTCCATCGAGAGTATAATATCTCGGTCGAGTCCGAGTGGCGGATCGGAGGATAGGGACCGTTTATAGAGATCAGCCGGGCAGTCGGTTGCATCCGTGGCGGACTGCCGATGCTCCCGGGTCGTTGACCTCGGGTAGGTCTGCGCGGCGGTCGGGATCTACTCGCGAGGAGTTTCGCGGCGGGAAAAAGAGGTCATCGCGGGCGGGATCGGACCCGATGTTTCGAAAAGAAAGCAAGCTCATCGCGAGAGGGGCTTCGACGGGGGTATATAATTGCGGCTGCTTTCTCAAACGGCGAACTGGCCACTTTCGCCCATTGCGACACTCTTGCCGTGTCGCGGGGAGCGGCGTTACGCAAACGGTCAACGACCCGCCACTCTAGATTTTAGAAACTACTTTTTTTCCGGCAAACCGTGTACGACGAATTTCGCGCCTCTATTATACTTTCCTCGATCGCAACGACGATGACGACAACGACTACTACGACTACGACGACGACGACGACGACGATGATGACGCGTTTGGCGAGATCGCAAGATGGACGGAAACGTTGGCGCGTAATGGGCGATGATATTTTCGGGGGGAAGGTGGGGGGGGACGGTGAGAAACGTGGAAGGTAAAAGACTCACCATCGCGACTCATCCCGACAGCGATACACTTCTTGAGACGGCAATACTGGCAGCGGTTCCTGTTGATGCGCAGGATGCTGCACTGTTGATTCTTGGTGCAGGGCCGGTACTGGATCTTCTGCTGAATACTGCGCCGGAAGAATCCCTGCGAATCACCAACGAAACCCTCGTCAGTCTGACCGTCACTGTCCGAGGAGGACCCCGACGAGCAATTGGTCCCCGTGCGCGGGGTGGCCAGGTCACATTCGCACAAGCACCCCATTAATTCACCCGGACCCTTAGTTATTTCCTATCTCGCGTCTATTTCGCGCGTTCCCTTCCTACGCGAAACGATCGCGTGCCTCTCGCACGCGCGCACTGATCTCTTTCTCTCTCTCTCTCTCTCTCTCTCTCTCTATCTATCTATCTATCTATCTCTCTTTCTCTCTTCTCTTCCTATATCCACCACGTAACAACGCGTATCAGCGTGGCCTGGTGGCAACCCGGAACGACGACCGAACGACGATCGAGCGACGATCGAACGACGACAATGTCCGCATAGACGGTGGCTGTGCTCGCGGTACTCTCGCGGTACTCTCGCGGCCTCGCACACCGGTCCCGTCCGATTCACACTGCAACGTCGGCTCACCGAGACTCGGGAAAACGACGCACGCGGCTCGAACCACCAAACTCACCAGCGAATCGAGCGTAACTGTTCGCCAGTACGATATCACGCGAGTCGGGACGCGAGTTTTCGGCGGGGGAAAAAGAAGCGACCGTTTGTATCGAAGCTTGGCTGTGGACTGGCTCTTTCTAGCACAGAGAGCATAGAGCCTCGGCACATTGCCTCTGGCTCGCCGAGGTGGGGGACACTGTGACCCAATTCCCGGACGTTCACCCGCAGTTCACCGCGTGAAAGTGAGAGTCCCCCTTGCGCGCACTCTGCCGCTCCTCCTCTCTCTCTCGCTCCCTCTCCCTCTCCCGTTCCCTCTCGCTCTTTCTCCCGGTCTATCCGTCTCTCTCCCGTTTTCTCTCTCTTCTCCCTGTCCCGTTCGCGCGCGCGCTGGCAAACCCTCGATATATCGCGCTCCTCGTCCACCGAACGCGACCATACAGGCTCGCGCGCGCTTCCAACGCTCTACTAACGGGTTCCTTCCCTCCTCCTCCTCCTCCGCCACCTCCTCCACCTCCTCCTCTACTCCTCCACCTCCTCCTCCTCCTCCTCCTCCTCCGCCGCCGCCGCCTCCTCGTCGTCACCGTGCAGCAGCGTTCTGCAAGGAACCACCCTCTCGAAAAGCATCGCGGTCCCTCTCTACCCCCGGGGGCCTCATCCGTCACCGATGTATTCCCGATTTTCTCTCTTCTTCTCTCGCCACCCTCTCGCATCGGCTCGAATAAACGCGGGAACCCCCCCCGGTTCTCGCACCCGGCACCGTCTACGCGTCCCGTACACACACCCTTCCCCGCGTCTCTATGTTCATATCCATATGCATATTCGCGTATGCTTTTTCGGGGCTCGGTCGCTCTCCGACCATCGAACCGCCGCGATTCCTTTGCAACGGCAGCAGGGGTGAACAACCCCTGGCTTCATCGACCGCCGCGCGTTTCGTTACGTTTCAACCGCCGGAAGAAAAGCAAACGCGCACGGTTCCCTTCGCCATCTTTCTCCTCCGTTCGCGTCGTTTCCATCGTTTTGCCGCTATTCCGGCGAGGCACGACGGAAAACGCGTAGAACGGCGGAGGAAAATGGCGCACCGGGAATAAAAGACGAAGGAAGGAGCGAGAGGCTGCTCGGCTAGCTCGGTTTTTCATGCGGTAGCCGCTAATTGAGAATGAGAAAAGAGGTAGGTCAGGGCGGAGGAACTTCCCGGCCGCGTATCGGTCAACGACCTCGCAGTTACGTAACGAACGACGCGTGGAACGTCGTTGCTGTCGTCGTCGTCGTCGTCGTCGTCGTCGTCGTCGTGCGTCGTCGTATCTTGGGCCGCGCTGTGTGCGAGCGCGGGCGCAGGCGCGCGGGCGCGCGTGCATGCACGTATGCGTACGGAATTGGCGACACACCGTGGTCGTCAAGTGACTCTCTCGTGACGTCAGACACGCGACCTCGCCTACCTCAACTTCGTGCACGGACCGACACAGAGAGACGAGAGAACGATGTACCGTTGCACCTCCGCGCCCGGCCTGTCAATCGGTGCACGCGTTCGATGCAAGTCAATGAACTGTCAGCGTTGCCAATGTTAAGCTTCCCTGTGCCGCGGCGATCCACCACGCCGCTGCTGCCCCGGCCAGCTTTCCGTTTGAAATCCTCTCTCTGCCTTCGACACCCGGGCCAATGAACCCTGCGAGCGTTTGTTTTCTACGAAACGCGCCTCTCCGTTTTACGAGGTCACGAATTCGTTGCGAGCCATTACAAC